CTTTAATGAAATATATATTTCAAGAATGAAATATAATGTAACGTTCTATAACTTAGAACTCATAAACTTCAAAATTAATGACAATCAAGCAACGTATGACTTTATAATAATTATCCACAGACGATCTTACCATTTTTTTCAAATATAGTTGGTTATCATCTTCTTCACTTCACTTTTTATTTAGAATATTATATTTATTAGTGACTACAATATGCTTTGTCTAAAGGACTTCGTTGAATACAGATCCTTGATACTGTTTCATTCATAAAACACCGCACATAACAGTATTAACGTAGGCTACTGAATGTGAAACTGACAAAGCGTATTAAGAACATGGAAACTAGAACTATGCATACAAGGATCTTTTGCGAAGTTTTAAATAATTTTAATTTCATTATGATACTTAACATCTAATGTTTTAATGTATATATAGATTCTAACAATTATTCTTTAATTATAAAATAATAGTCAACAAACAGTAGACTGGAATTAGTTCCAATTAAAATAAGACTTTATTACTTGGGGTAATTCTTTTTGAAATATTTATAAAATATAATTTAAAACTAATTCATAGAAACACCAACGAATTTTAAAATATTATAAGTGACTGATCCATGATATAGAAGTATTATTTATATTCGTACAAATATCTATCGTTCAATTATATAATAACAACATACTAAGTGGAATGTTATTAGTGTATATATTATCAAAGTGTGAATCAAAGATACGGCTTCCGATAAATGGGTTAATTGTGTTCGGAGAGAGGAACTGATTCATCTGTATCAAATATCAGTTAAAATAACATTTAATGAAGACATCTTCATGACTGTTACACAGATTAAATAAACGATACACAGAATTTTTTGTTTGATTTTTTATGCTTTTTTTTATTGGAATATGAACCGAATATAGTTTTCCTCACAATGTAGTGTCATGAACTCATATCACGTCCGTTTTATTCATGTTTGTAAAATATATTATAGCTTTTGTTGGGTCATTGTATAGTTATTGGTTTTTGTTTTATAATATTTTAAAAAATGTTACTTAAATGTTTTTGTGAAGAAAATTTTGTTTTGGTGAAGAAAATTTTGTTCTTTCACTCTTGAGATCCACAGTTTTAAAGATTTTTATAATTTTTTACTTAAAAATTTATGAGTATCCGTACCGTCTGTCTATTTGACTTACGTATTTATAATTATATAATCCCTCCATTGGACTCATTCTCAAACCACAATAGATAAAATTAATATATTAGACAAAATTTTTTACTATATGTGTATTAAAAAAAATCTATTTTTTGTAATTAACTTGTTAGAAACTCAATACGGTACTTTATTGGTTTTAAAATAAAATAATAAATTAATCAGTTCATTAAACTAAAGAGTTGAATAGAAGGAAATAAATAAAAGGTTTATATTTAAATGAAACTTAAGTGTTTAGATACTTATACCGAAAATATTTGTTTCATTTAAATGTGTACCTCCATTGTTTTACTAATAAAGTTTCACAACAACACTAGATAAAATTAATGTATTAGACAAAATCCTTTTCTATATGTATATATTTTTTATTATCTTGATGGCAAAACCCAATAGCTCAACCATTTAATATTACCAAGCCGGTTTTACGGCACGGATGTTGGTTATTTTTGGCAGTTAGTGTATAAAAATCTCTTTGTGTTATTAACTTGTGAGAAAATCAGTACAGTATTTTATTGGTTTTAAAATAAAATAATAAATTAAACAGCTGATTAAACTAAAGAGTTGAATAGAAGGAAATGAATAAATGGTTTATATGTATTTAAATGAAACTAAAGTTTTCAAACACTTATTCCGAAAATATTTGTTTCATTTAAATGGTACACACGAAAATCTTACACATGATGACGGTATATATTGTTAAAGGACTTATTTTGTAAACGACATTCAGAAATATTTGTACTCAAACACTAAAAGATAAACTTATATTTTTTAAATGGTCGAGCACATCACTGTAGTTCACTGTAGATCACTGTAGTTGGGAATGATATTCTTACCATATTGTTCAATAATAATTCATGTCAAAAATATTTTCCTTGAAGAATATCTACAACTCTTATTACTCACCTCACCTACAATCTATTAGTAATGCGTGATCTTTTCTTCCAAGAGTCACTATAAACTGATCCATAATACCGCACGGCATTCCAGGGAAATCATGTTCAGCTTTCTGACACAACTGAGCCTTTTTGACTAGACTGAAAAAAAAATCATTCTACAAAGCCTGTTCAATAAGGGAAATGGTTTTCCTGATTCCGAAATCAAAACCACATGCCGAGAAAAAAAATTCTGATCGCTGGAACAAATTTCACAAATCCCTTGTGTATTTTTCTTTCAAAGTCTCTTTTATTCCCAATCGGCTCTTTAAATTCTATGGTAAATAACTATTAGGTCGTTTAAGGTGCCTGCTAAAAAAAGTCTTATGGAAGGAATCACAATTTTATTTTTACTTTTCAAAACCAAAATAATATAATAAAATATTATAAAACTGGCTTATAATTAAGTTACCAGTATATTTATTGTGCCAAAGCAGACTGAGAGTTACGTATAAAATTTTGTGCTCTCAGTTTGTGTTAGAAAATTGCAAAATTTTAACTTTTGTTGTACCTAGTTTCAAAAAATTTCTATCCCTTAACGAGTTGTATACTAGTTTTGATGTCTAAATTGCGAAAGTGGATATAAAATTTACTATTTATTCTCATATCATTCTATAACATATCCCGCGCACTAAATGAACAACTGCCTCCATATCTGTAACCTTTTTTAAATTCATTTATTCAGGCTATAGACAGGAAAGCAAACAAAGAGTTTATATTAGTGAGAGCCGTGTTGTGATTTATTAGTATGTATTACCCGTACCAGACTTCGATCAAACAAAGTTTATTAATAACTTCGTATTCACTGTTACAAATTCTTTATTTTCATACTACAAATGATGAATTTTGATTTTTTAAATATTATTTCCGCACTTAAAATCCTCAACATTATTTATTAATTTTTTATATACCCAGTATCATTTTTATGACTGAGACGTAATCATTAATATCATATCGATAAAAAATAAACTGTTAAGTTTCAAGGGCCTATTAAAAAAATTACATATAATCGAAAAACAAACCTTTACCTTTCGGAGTCGGGTAAAAATATATTAAATTATATAAAAATTAAATTTTTGAAATTTTGAAAAGTTTGAAAGGTTTAACAAGACGTTATGGTAGACAATCTTTTATATAACATGAGAATATTTATTCAGAACTTGTTTAATAATTTAAAATTTATTTACTATTTACCACAAAATATTTAATAGAATTTAAATATCTGTAAAATTTTATATCAATACTAAGTGAACAATACTAAAATAATATTACGTATTATCATTAAAAAACTAAACAAAAGTCTTCCTGTAATTTGTTTACATATTTTAACAGCACTCAACAAACACTACATCATTTATGGGAACACTATTTTTCGCACTATAAGTTTTATAACCAACAGTACACGCCAACTTAAACACATATATAGTCTTACAACTTTTGATGGTACTATTAGAGCTTAAATTACATTTTTATTATACAATACTTCAGTAACGCTTTAAAAACATAATTTAAAGCTCAAATATTTTGGATTATTCCTCATTAAACATAGCTGATTTTTTTAAATGAATATTTATTTCTATTAAGGCTATTTCAGACAAGTTCCTGATTACTTACATCTAATAAAACCTAAAACTTATGGGTAACTTAGTAAATATTACTAGAATTAACAACAAGTCATATATAAGTTATTAACAAGCCAAAATTTAGATTATTATTAAAGATTATTTGAAGTCATAGTATATCATTTAATGAGAAAGGTATAAGGTAAATAAGGTATCGATCTATGAAGATAAGATAAATAAAAGACAAGAAATGAGTCGTTCTTCTAAACCGCATAATACGTCAATCTTTCAGACCATTAGAGTCTAAAAATGAAGTGTTCAGACGTCGTTCTGTTGGTGGTGAATTCTAATGTGATGCATCAGTTAACTGGAAGCGAATACCCCCAGAGAAGAGCGCAGTGTCAGCATAAAGAAGAAGCAAAATTTTACACAACATTAATTGGACTGATTGCAAAAACTTAAGTTATTCACTGAGATACTGTTGGTCCATTAAACGATCTATGGACTTTTTAAATGAGGAAATGAGGTTTTCTTAATATAGAATGTAGTTATTGACTGTATAATTCAACTGCATAATTCATTTCAAGGTTAAGTTTTAAAGATAGCTATGCAAAATGTGTGTGTTTGTGTGTGTATTTCTATTTGAGACATCGAAGCCTTAAAACGGATTGACCGTTTTCTATGCTTTTTTAAAATTTAAAATTCCTTTTTATGTGGTAGTTCTTAGCTTTGTTTTATTAATATGAGTCCAATGGTATAAGATAATAAGACCGAGTAAAAATATTTTTTGGCTTATGAATGAATAATTACTTATTTGGCCTATAAATTATAATTCATTCCATTAAATAGGTGATTCTTCGCAATTTAATAAAAAATCCAGTTATATTTCTAATTCATATTTTTATCCAGTGATAATATAAATGATTTCTTTCACGTTTAATACTTTATTTATGTATTCTGAAAGCAAACATACAGTATATGTTCCCTTAATTTCGATGCGCTACTTAAATAAGATCAAAGGAGGGATTTTCGTGGGAAATTTCTTAGATCGTTTCCTTTAGTACCTTATTAACTACATTACACCCAAATTTCTCGTTCAATTTGTTATCGGTTCCTTTCATTTGGAACGTTACGTAATAATATGATTCGTAATACCATTCAATCTATTTATGTATAATATATATTGCTTCCAGAATGATCGTTATGTTATATATAGCATCCATTTGTTTATCTGTTGTTACATGAATACAGTTATAAGTATATATAATTAGAAGTATCTAGCTCTGTTATTTATTGCAGAACTGCAGTGCGAGGAGATTGTTCTGAAAGGTGCAAAGCATGTTGTCGAAGAGATCGCCCGGACTGAGTTAGTGGCTCAGCTTTTAGAGGAGAAGGATTATAAGGAGGTTGGTAGGTTTAATAGATTGCTATATCTTATTTACCTATATATTACTAAATAACTATTTAAAGATTCATGCTTATTCTATTTCCACAACTGTTGTATATTTTAAGTATCAAGAAGATTTAATGATACTTAAATCAAAAGCAAATATAAAGAAATTAATTTTTTTTAAATTGTATTACAGTTTATGTGAGCTTAGATAATTTTCCGAACAACTGAGTTTAAGTCTGAAATAAGCTTGACCTTTTTTAAGTTATATATTTGTCAATAAAAAAATTATGAATAAACTGCCACATGAAGTTTGTTATTAAAATTCTGTGTAACTTCGAAGTAAATGTAAATGTATGAAGTACGTTCAACATCAACGAGGTCTCTTTATTGCGCAAAAAAGTCAGAACATGACACACTATGGACATACAAAACTTTCATTATAACTGTGATGATGTTTGTCAACCAGACACGTGCGATCCTCTCGAGAATTCCAATTTATATCAATATATACTCTAACTGCATCATATGTAAAAGATAGATACATCTTTTACTTATGTATGAAAATCATAAACATAATTGTAAATATCCCTACAAGCTCTCGATAAACAATAGTAAGCAAATGAAAACTTATTGCCAGTCGAAGTATGTTATAGTGTTAGTGTTTTAATTGGGTTAATCTTAATGTGGCAAACTTTAAACATTATTCAGTTGGAGATAATATATTTCAAATGTATAGTTCTGTGTCATTTTACCGTCTTATTTTCCAATATATTTAATAAGCTTGCAGTTGAAAATAAAAAAAATTGTAATTAATATTCCAAAATTCGTGTTAATAGAGCAATGAAGTGAATTGGAGCATTGGAATCTTACTGACGCAACGCGTATAGTAGTCTACTCATTGAAGCGTATTATGAAACTAAATCTAATTGATACAGCACTATTCCACACAATTATAAATTTAAATATAATTTACACAACTCCTAGAAGGTTTTCTACTCTCAATCTTGAAGGGTCATTAATACAAATGCGGCTATCTTGTTACTTGTATCTATTCCTATATAAAACATGTAACGTGTAATTCATCCAGGTAGGGCGTCTGTTCTATCAGTCCCACGAGTCTCTGAGCAAGCTGATGGAGGTTTCTTGTCCCGAGTTAGACCAGCTAGTTCATATCATGAGGTCATCGGACGGAGTCTTCGGCGCCAGAATGACGGGCGGCGGCTTCGGTGGATGCGTGATAGCCTTTGTGAGTTAAGCTTATACTGACTACTATTGAATACATCAAAGTAAATCATTTTTAAATATATATAAAATTTAAAACACATGCTGCTAATGGAATGTATGCTTTTAGTGTAATGAAATTGAACTGTTTTTAACAATTTGCTATAGTAGTTGATTGGTAAACCAATTTTTAGTTAGTTCTTTGTAGTTTCTGTGCACAATGGACGTTTTCATCGGTCCTGTCATTTGATTTGCTTTAAAGCTTCCCTTGTTTTTTATATAAAATGTTGGAAAATTTGTTGACATTGTGAACTTATACTAAACAGAGACATTAAAAAATTTTTGTCAGGAAATCCTTCTTTTAGGTACAAATCCTTTTATTATTAGATCCGCGAGTAATGCCAGGCAGTTTTTGTTGTAAAACTGTTTTAATTGTCAAAAAAAGCTAGCGAAGAAACGTAATTATCTACGTTTATCTCAATATATATCTGTTGACATATGTATTTAAATTGAAGTTATATTATTAAGGAAAGTTGTTTGTATTTATATTATTGAGAAAAACTAGCCATTGTTCCATATGATGGTAAATTTATACCTTAAAATAAGTTTTACTCGTGTAAAGGTTTAAGGAATTCTAGAAAAATGGGACGGAATTTTCGGATTATACTGAAATAGAAACGAGTATTGGGGCTTCCAAATCTTCAATAATAATATTGTACTGTAAAAACCTGATTTCACGGTAATATTAAATGTTAATAAATAACAATAAGGTATATATTTTAAATATGATGTGACCTCGGGGAACTCGGCTTTAATCTTATATATAAAATTCTCGTGTCGACAGAGAACTCCTCCGAACGGCTGGACCAATTTTGATGAAATTTTGTGAGCATATTCAGTAGGTCTGAAAATCGGCCAACATCTATTTTTCATACCCCTAAGTCATGAGGGTTGTTCACCCTTAATTTTTTTTTCGGACGAAAGTTTTTTTATTGCTGCATTAAAAATACATAATACCCAAAATTTTTATATGGCAAAATAACGTTTGCCGGGTCAGCTAGTAATGTATATAGATCTAGCGAGGTAGGTTAGTACTGCCTGATTTCACACTTATAAAATTATTTTATGAGAGGTAGATTAAATAAAAAGGGTTTGTAAAATAGTGCATATTATATAGCAAATCATTATAAATATATGAAAAAACATGAATTTATGATCTGCTATACATATATATACATAAATACCGTTTTATGAATACAAACACAATGTCTTAGTTTAGTCACATATGATTAAAGAAAAAATTGGAGATTTATAAATGTACGTATCTATCGTATTTTACTCTGTTTGATAATCAAAGTATGTTTTCCTTGTACGTTATATATTTAAGGTAACCATAATTAGATTTTAAATTCGTTTCTGAAATTAAATAATATGTAATGGCCATTACGAACCTAATAATAATAATGCAAAATCAGTTACTAAAATTTCTTGAGCTTTTAAATTAATAATATTTTATCATCATAATTATTGGTATAATGAGACCTTTTTTTTATTATATTTAAAAAATACAAATTTTCTCTGTATATTTTAGACGTTTTAGGTAGTATTGTTCAATATAATTTATGTTCATACATATATAACAAACTTAAATAATTAACAAGATAGAAATGGAAAATCATATAATATTGTTCCAAAAAAATATATTAAACTTAATAGGGATCATAAAATTTTATATTTCCATTAAATAATTATCTCAACTACTTCAACATGGCGTTAAATAGCTCACTGATTTATGGTGTAAAGTATAAGCATGAGTATAGTTTATTATGAAAAACAAAATGAAAAAGTGTGGTAGTCATTTTATGTATTTTACATTTACATTACATTTTAAATTTAAGTAATGTAAAATAGCCTGATATTGCCTCAAAATGTATAGAATAAATTACACTTGATTTATGAGTGAAAATATATGGATGAAATGTGTGTATATTTATATATGTATATGTACTTACCGATTTTGTAAAAAAAACTTAACTAGTGGACTAAACGCAACCATTAAAGATTACTGCAAGCCGATGTTCTGTGAGAGGATGGTACTTACCCGGTCGAGCCAGCCCATGTTCGAGCTTTGTTACTTGACAATTTAGCTAAGCTCTACCACCTTTACTTGTTCTAAAGGTATAACTACGCCAGCGATGGTATAACCTCCCGCAGAGAAGTTCCCATGTTGAAAAACTGCAATACCAGTTATAATATAGTAAGCAATTACATACATTACATAACACTATAAAACAATGTTATAAAAACTTTGTGTAGTATTACATTTCTTCTTTTCATTACCGGGTAAGTACTAGCCTTTCACAGAAAATTGGCGTGAAGTAGTCTTAAATGGATGCGTTTGTCCGATGTGTGAAAGAGCCGGTTGCCCTCCCTGTTTCCACCGTTTCCTTACATTTTCTTATTGACACCCCTTCCATTTCCTAAATAAATAAGGTTAGTAACGCATCCACAACTCAATATTTGATACATATGAATTACCTGTTTTTACCCAGTGGTTTTGGTTACAGGGGACTGCATAGTTTTGGAGTGGTTTGAAGCTAGCCTTAGGGTCAGTCAAGTTCAATCAGAATGAGTAAAAGAGGCCATGGTAGCGTGTGTTAATTTAATATTTCATACAATGTATTTAAGTTGTTATAGCTTCTTTGTTCATAAATATTACAAGTCCGGCAGTTTTCGGAATACTGCTTCAACATCTGGACATGCGCCGAGAAGTGTCACTTCACCAAAACGTAGAATGACAGTAAAGCGCTAATCAATCATTATAAAAACTAAAAACATTCAAAATGATATAAGGCTTGAAGTCATCTTTTCGATTAAAGATATTTTCTTCTAAATTTAAGTAAGTAATAAATATAACTTTAGGTGGTAGAGCCTAGCTGTGGTTAGTTACTACAGCTCGAACACGGGCTGGCTCGACCGGGGAAGTACCACCCTCTCACAGAAGATCGGCGTGAAGTAGCCTTTAATGGCTGCGTTTCGTCCGATGAGTGAGAGAGCCGGTTGCCCTTTCCCTATTCCCACCCTTTCCAACAATATCCTTATTCCCAACCCTCCCTATCCCTATAAAACAAGGTTGGCAACGCATCCGCAACATCTTTGTTGCGGATGTCAATGGGCGACGGTAACCACCTTCTATCAAGTGGGCCGTCTGCTCGTTTGCCACCTTTAACATAAAAAAAAAAAAAAAAAATATCTTTTCCAAATTTTAACAAGTGAGAAGTAAGTAGATGTACTCTCATTGATAAATTGTAAATTGAATAAAATGTTCTGAGAGGCGAATTCATTCTACGAGTAAATTACCGTTGTATCTCGGCACTATTTTTATTCACGTGACAGTGAAATACATACAACATAATTGTTTTGATACACCATATGAGACAGAAAAATCTCCACGAATCGTTATGACCCAATTTTCTATGAAAGATTATTTTTTTGACATAATCACGAGAATCATTAACTAATTACACTAATAAGAACGTGTGGATATATTGTTTAAACAAATATCTGAATTTCATTATTAACAATTTTTCTCGTTTTCATATCCACTAAATACTACTTATTCTAAATATGTATATCCAACTATATCCCGTCGTTTCGGTAATTTACGACAACCGTAATAACGGGCAGCGGAGATGGAAGTGTCTGCCAGTTAGTTGGATTATTTATCTAGATACCTAATAAAAAGTTGGATTATTTATCTAGTACGTAATAAAAAGTCCGAAATACTTAATATTCTTAAAATGAGTACAAGTGAAAATCTTAGAAATCATTATGTGAGCTAGACCTCTTGTTTCAACTAAAACTATTAACTATTTAAGTCTCTCTACCCACACTTATATAAGGGAAACTCATATTATTTATGTATATTTAATACATTGTAATATTTTACATTTTATTTTCTTTTTCTCCCCCAGCGTAAATAGATGCGGATAATAGATATATTTTCTTATTTGTAATTCTTTGATGATTTAAAACACAATAACATTTAATGTTTTTTTCGGTAGCCACTTGAATTTTACAACCATTGTATCCCCAATAAATGATGTCTAGATTGATATTTTCATGAATAATTTGAGTTCGGTAAGAGTTTCCTTATTTTGTTCTCATGTATAAGGATTGGTAAAACTTCTGTTTATAAAAAGAAACCCCAACCAACGTCTGGCAACCACTTCATAGCCAATCACATCGTCGTTCTATCTCTCTCTCTCTCGATTCAACATTTGCATATATTGTTACTAATAATAAATATTTCTGAGATAGTTTTATTTTATAACGTATGTGTATATTATATATTTATTCAACAATATGAGTATTAACTTTGAAGTTGCAATTTTCTAGAATTCAAATCTTGCTATGAGAGTTTCTTGAAAGAATTTGATGATTTTGATATTGAAGGAAAAGTAAGATGTAATTTTTTTGTCAATGTAAATACCAATCATTCAGTCTTAACTCAATCTGAAAATAAATATGTTCTTGGTATAATCATTGGAAATAACACGAAATAGATTCAAATAAGGTTATAAAATTTCATATTTTTTATCGCTACGTTTCGTTAACCTCAAAATTCTAGTACCATTGTCTAGAAACATGTTATATTTTTAAAATTCAAAACAAATGTTTTGTCAAGTTTAAAAATATAAGACTGGATCATGCTGAGTGTTTCACTATCGCATGTTTTAAGAAGATATTTATTTTGTCAAATTTTCTTAAAATTTATTTTAGATAATACTTGAGTGTCAATCTAAAATTGTTTATTAAATTACTAAAGCTCAAAGTATCGGAATATTATAGTACCAAAAAATATCTAGATTTTTTAATGGCATTATTTTAGATAAATTTACTTCAGAACAGCTTTGGTTAGACTTGGTAGACTTTGTTTTCAATTTACTTAAAGATTGTAAGAATAAGAGATTTTTTTAAGAAACATTTAACTTTTTTTTAATTTTAAAGGATAATAGAAAAGTAGGCACTTGACTTGTGGAATATGATTCAAGTACTCGAAGACATCAGAAGGTTTTATTAAGGGTTATCTCTATCCTGGCTAAGTGAAGGCAGTAATTATTATCTTAGTCTCCCCAACCCGTCTAGACTTGAAAATGCACTGAATATAACTAGGCTTCATAGGCTGTATTAACAAGTAAATTATCAAAGAGGACAAATAATATGACGCCTTGTTTTCAAGCTTTCGTAATAACATAAATAAAACAGGATTTACAAGATAAGTGGTTTGTTTAAGACACTCAGATTTTGTTTTGAAAGGGTCTTGTTGTGATTTTATTATTTTCAATATAAAATATGACGTACAAGTATAGTTATTTATATGAAATATTGACGACTTAAGAATGATTATCAACTAAAGTTAATTCAAGATTTTTATTTTATTGCTAGTTGAATTTTATCTTATGCGTAACGTAAACGAATGAAACTTATATTTCATATTAAAGCAACTCAGTTTAAAAAAAATTAAACATTTAAACAATTGATTATAGTGAGCAGAACAAGGATTTACATTTTATGGAATAAACATACTCGTAGTTAACAAGCTTTTTTGTGTTCTTCTGCCGCAGTGACTTTAAGTTGTCGAGCAAAAAGGATGGTTTTTTGGTTTCTTTTATATCCATAATAGATTTTGTGAAAAAAACATACATTGAAAAAGTAATAAACGATAAATTGTTCACTTCACTTCATTCAGTGACACTTCATTTTAAAACTTCACTTTCGATTGGTTTAAAACACTGCAAAGATAAAAAAAACAATAGAAAATGAGCTTTTAAACTTCAATCGTCGAACGTGTCTTTTCTTTTTAATTAAATAAAAGAAGCAGTGAAAAATTACATAATAAACTTATTATTTTCATCAATCTTGTAATATTTAAAAAGTTAGCCAGAGGCGAATTACTTTTGTTTAAAATACACTTAAACGTAACTTTGTTTGTTAAATCTTTTATAACTTTTTGGCTTCCGAAGTTAGCACGATCTTGACCTTCAAAATATTTTAATATCAAAAAATTACATAATAATTGTATGAATGGTTTATATAATAACATTAATTTGGGCATCGCTGTGTTACTCGAGGTTTAAGGTAAATTAAATTATAAATTAGGAGATGTAAGGTTTTGTGCAGACTCAGGTATATGAGAAAGATTTTTTCAAAATCATTTTGGTCCGTCTGAATATATGAAACATTTCAGCGAGGAGGTACCAAACTTTAAGAAAGATTTTATTTTCTGTTCTATTTATATGAAAAATTCTTTCAATTTATATACTGGATCTAACATTCGCTGTAAGGGGCATAAGACATTCGGATCTTTGAATGAAAATGAAAATAAGAATGATAATTTGGAAACAAAATATAATGAAACATTTCTCATAAAAATATATTAATTTTCTGTTTATATCTTAAAGGAAGTTCTTAAAAATAATTTAAACGAGGAAAACTTGATTTAAATTAAGTACAAGTGAGTGAGCAAGCTTGAGATAATACTCGTCGTCTTTTAATAAATACCATTGTGCAACTTCAACCTAAATAAAGTAAAATGTTCTACATAATGTAAGTAATGAATAGAGGAAAACGTGGTTATTAAAATACTATGTTAAGATATCATTAATATTTATATTGAAATATTAAGCTGCTCTAATATTAACAATTTCTTAACAATATTTAAGAACATCGCGTGTATTCGTTGAAATGGAACTGAAGTTTTCTTGTATTACTATGTTTTTTTATCATTTTAACATTACAGACGAGATGCAAGGGTCAGCTTATGATCACGGTTGCTACAAAGGAACTGAAACGAAAGGATTATTAGCTGAAAAATAATAGAAAGCGAAAAGTACATTCAAAACATGCACCTATTATTAAAAAAATATTTTTATAGTTACAGAATTAATGATAATCCTAAAAAAATATATTCTGTTTTTTTTTTAAATTTAATATTCGTAAAAAAGTCACTTTCTTCACACGATACTGCACATTGATTTTACTAATAGATTAATACAATGTTTAGTTAAACATTCATTCTTTAACTATAATATATTGAGAAAAACATGTGTCATGTCTGTTCATTTATAATCTATTTATTTATATCGGTAAACAGGACTTATACTACTGACATGATAAAATATAACTAAACAATACTAAGACCAATACAGGATTACACAGATAAAGTAAAAGTATAAACATAAACGTAACTTAAGTATTAATTAATCTCAGATCACAATACTAATTAGCAAGACTGTTCGTTGTGTGTGTGCACTTGTGTATATACATGTGTGTTTGAATGTACATATAAGTGTAAAGTAAAGTAATAGATATCATTTTAAGACAAAAACAGTTAAAAATCATATAATATGCAGTTATAATAATAAAAATCGTAAACTATAGTAAGTGCCTGATTCAATTGGTATTTGATGTCAAAGAAGGTAAAGTGGCTATAATGTCTTAAATTAGATTTTCATTTTATTACATTTTATAACGCTGAGATCGTCGTTTTCATTTTGTCGTCATATTTTAAATAATTATAAATATTTTCTTAATTACTTTATTATATTACGAGAACTTCCATGAACTCGTTGATATAAGCTATTAAATGACATGCGATTATAGTCCAAAAGTAGAATGCTCACGAGTCTTAGATATCATAACAAAGAGAAATAGTTTATTAGTACAATGAAAATTATGAATCATACTAATTATATTTCAATTTGTTGATTTGAATGGTGTTACTTCAATTTGCTAAATGATGTAAGTTAAGCTCTAAATATCAAAGATTTATTGCGTACTGTTAGGATAAAGTCAACAACCTTCTGCCAATAAAAAGATGTTTCATGATGAATGAATTATATTAGAGACGTGCTGTGGACTTTGCCAGAAGTCTTAGAGGCTTGAAGAAAATTAAATAAATATGATATAGTAAAGCTGCTTAAGAGATTAAAAAATAACAAAATTTGAGACGATTAGCTTAAAATTTGCTTACGTAAACAAAATATAACGTATTTTTAACATAACGGCAGTTGTAATAATAAAAATTCCAGTATTGGAAAATATACCACGGTTTTTATTACTTATAATAAAATATAACATTAAATAATTTGATGAATGTCTGATGCCTTGGAAATATTTAACAATTGTACTTCACATCCTTTGGGGAAAGTAATTATTAATTAAACTGGAAACTGTTATGGAGATAATAAAAGAAAATGGTTTTTTTCTTACTTGTTTATATTTGGTGTTAGTTGTCAATGATTAAGTTTTCCTTGAAATAAGTTGTGGTTGATTTAAAGAGTTTGAAGTGATGTTGCGGGCAAATTAATATATGTATATGAAACAAGTTTTCAAAGATTCCGACTTCGAGGATTGACCTCTTAAGAACATAGAATACTGATAACGTACAATATAAATGTTTATTTATAGGAAGTTGAACTGGAAAATTAATATAGTATGATTTTATATTACTATTCTGAAGTCGAAACAATTGACTTCTTAAGAAGTTTTCATGATAAAAATAGGAAGTATTAAAATAATAACTTATTAATAAGTTAAGCTCTAGAGATGGATCTAAGTGTGTATGTTTGTATTGTTAAGTAGATTATTATTATTGTCTATACTTATTCAGGTATAAAGACAACCTAAAAGTGTATAAAAATAAAAAGGGTACAACAGACCAGCCAGTCTGAATATGGCAGAACCAGACACAGAAAAGCAACCGTGTGACATTAAAAGACCAATTAAACACGCAAGTGACATGTTTATTTCATATTTTAATCATTTTTTTATATAAATATGGTTTTCATTTCGTAGTTTTTTGTTAATAAGTATATACTCTAATAACTAAAATTATTAAAAAATTATAAAAAGACCCCTTGTATTATATTAAATTGATATTTTGCATCGTGGATTAGTAAAACGACAAATAAATTGTTTATCTTGTTCTGTATTGTATGTATTAAGAGTTTAAACATATTTTTCCTTGTAATTTTGATATTCTTTACAAGAACTTTAAACATAGTTTCAAGTATTAGAGAAGTATAAGCTTGTATTTGTTCATTACGAGTTCAGAGAGGCCAATTTTTTTTTTGAGTATTATCTTTGGGATACTTGGCGAGCCGTTTGCAAAACCTACTTAATATATAAAGTTACAAACTAAGCTTGTCAATCTGTACACTCAGTAAAGGTTCGAAACTACAAATTAAACGTTTCCAGTTTTGAGTTATTCATCATAAAACGACAACTTGTGATTGGAAAACGTTCCAACTGCTAGTTTTAAATTCATTTAAGTTATTTGCACTTCGTATTTGACATAGCATTTGTCAAATTGGTTTGCTTTTAATATTCCTAGCTCGTGGTTACATTGTATTTTCTGTTTATCGCATTTGAATAGGAAGGCTTTGAAGATTAAATTAAATAATGACTATAGAGTGACTGTAATTCATTTACGATATTCTTACTATTATATTTGTAAATGTTGGACATAGAATTATTTGAAAAATATTTACTTCTGAATGAAGGCAAGAAAAGGTTGCGTCCAGAAGAAAATGTATCGCTTCTTAAAATTATAAATTTTATCCTTAAATAATATTACAGGAGTTAAGTTAGTTTCAACAAAGTGGACTGATTGTGTTTATCAATATTTTCATTGTCTTTCTGGAGTTTCGGTATATAAATGAGAGTCACCTGCGTCGGAAGTATTTTGTTTCTTTGAAAATATTTATAACGTAATGGTTTTTCATATAAAATCTTTGACGAGCTTTATAATGTTTATTTTATCAAACAAATAAAATTTGGATTAGAAATTGAATATTTAACGAAGGTAAGTAGTCAAGACATACACTACTATGTAGATACTGTTATACGAAACTAACACACGAACTAGTAAATGTATAAAAGAAATAACCGTTTGTTAGTTTTTGACATAAATGTAACTATTTAAAAAAAAATGTTACTCGGTACCAATATATGTATTATATAGATTTTGTCGTAATGTATTAAATATTCATATGGAAATAATATTATAAGCTTTATTCCCTACTGCATAAGACATTTAACTTCTTATTTTGCGATAGACTGAGGAATGCCTGAATCGATTTTAATGGGGCTTAGAAAAGGATAAAAAATGAGTTTGTACTTTGTGAAGAAAATAATATTATGAGTGATATAAAATAAGATTAATACTAAAATAAAATGGAAAAATAGCTTTCTCATGACAGGTTTCTAATATGAATGAAGTTAATTTCTTACTTATATTACCGTCTCCATCGTAACGGTCCACGAATGTTTAAGAACTAAAATATATACTACTTGATACATATATACGTATATACTATGTAGTCAAATTTGTAATAGAATGAGAAAAATTTAAATCTAGCTCAAAAGATAAAAGCAAGTGTTATAAATAGTTATGAAGTTGGGTCGAATTGAAGTACTCTAGTTACGTATAAATTTTAAGTTATAATAATTTAAAAGCACTCTGTATATTAACCAGATGTTCTCATATATTTATTTTTATGTTTAACACATTTTCCTCGAGTAATAAATTAATGTTATAGCTAAAAAACATCATCTTCATATTTTATTTTGATTTATGTTTATCGAAGGCTTAATCAATAAAATGAACGTGTTCTCGACAACTTCGATGACATCAAAGACGGTATCCATTGGATTATATTATTCAGCTAAATTTAGTTGAATTGGTATTTATTTAGGCATTTACAAATGTTTACTTTTTTTATTTGAATATGTGATGAGATATCAACAAGATCAAGTCCAATTTTTTTTCGGACTTCTTCCAAATTGCTTCCAAACATGATGAGTTGTTATACATCTATGTTGAATTTAAACAGCGATAAAAATTATACATTTTATAGTATTGTAGAATAAAATATATTTCTTTTATTATAAACCTTCCTTGGAATAAACAAAACCAAACATAATAAACAATATTTAGTTCTTTGAAAGAAACATCTGACTCGGAAGATTCGAAGTAGTATTAGCGTTGTTTGCAAAACAATTTTAAGCATATTATGTGTTCTCACTGAATGAAACGTTGGTGAAAACATGAAGAAATTGAGATATTATTTTCAATATTATATGAAATGAATATTTAAAATAGATTCGATCGACCCTATGAAATATATTAAATTGAATACTTATTGCTAGTAATCCTTGAAATTTCAATACTTCTGAACATAATTGTGTGATATGTATCGAATACTTAAAAATAATGTTCATTCCAATTTCATTAAATATAATTCATTGATTAATTGATTGCTGTTTTAAATAGAGAGATTCAGTTTGTGTGAGAATGGAATTTTGAAGTCTCCTTTTGATTTCTAGGAAGTGAATTCAAAGCTTTTAAATGTATAATACTCTAATATTATCGCTGGTTTAAAGAATGTACTTAATACTTTTATTCTCATCACACATGAATACTAACGTTCACGTAAAATTATATAATATCTGCAACCAATATTAAATCATTTTAATAATACTTAAATATAATATTTTTCTCGATCATATTACAAAATGTTTATAGAACGATACCTTTGACACAAAAAATGTTACAAGGAAAAGTTTTGCTTGATTTAAATCTGAACGAACCTTAGATCTGAAATACATATTTGACTGTGAATGAAAATTACGAAGATATTTTTATAATACTTCAAATGAAAAACTTGTTATATTCAATGGGATTATTGAAGATACTATCATAGTTGTAAGTCACCTTAAAATAAAAATACAAAAACAAAACACATATCACATGGACTTATGTAAACTTTCAAAGTTTAACAAATGGAGTACCGGTTTGGTCTCGAAGTTATTTGTATGAAGTTAGGGATTCTGAATCGTTATCATTAAAAGTTACTTCTGATCTCTGGTAAATTAATTAAACTATTGTACTTCTCTTTTAGATTAATAAAGTTTTCACAATTAAGTATTATTAACATTATGAAAGTTTTTCTTTACAAATATAATATAAGGCTTTAGAGAAAATAGACGATTAATCATCGATGAACAAGAAAATAGTGCAATAATGTTTATTCAAGTAATTGGAACCACTATCTCTCAAGATTGTTCCTGTTTGTTCTGAAGTGAGGCCAAATTCTAATCAAATGACGTCGTATATGCTGCATCATACAGTAATTGAGTTTATTGAACTGCTTTATATTCTGGTCGATACCTAAACCTAAGCAAACGATTATGGTTTAATTTAACTTAAACGAAATATGATATTTGTAATAGTATTTATAATAGTTTCAGTTATCACTAAACTATTTTCATTTCATAATTACCTCAAGGTCATAATATCTTAAGTTTTAAATCCACGTACCCAATCTATGTAATATTATTTGTCATACTTTTTTAAGCAATAAATACAGAATTTGTATATATTTTCTATAGTTTCATTTACGTCTTATCTATAAGGAAATTGGTTCTATTGTATAAACGTTTGTCTATTTCTCGTTTCCAATATGCATGTGTTGCTATACATACATATGTATGTATATATATGTTGGAAACTAATTTGTAACACTTGATTTAATCAAAATGAATTAATAAAGGTCAATGTATAATACATACATATATATATATATAATATAATAATATGTATTGTGAGATGTACATATATTGAAGTAGATAATTAATTATCTTTTAATTTGATATTGTATTAGTAGCGGAATAATTTAAAGATATACAAATATAAGTCCTGAATAAAAGAGCAGGTAACAAGAATTAGTAACTTCCTTGAAGTCTGTGAAGTATATTTGTTAGTATAATTACAGTACAAGTCAAAATCAAGCATCGTTTTCTTGGAAAACCTATATTACCAGTTCAAACGATAATTAACGAAGCATTTTCATTACCCCTTTGCAAATAGCATTTCTACAAGTCGTGTACAATTATATCACAACATCCATGATAGTTATAAACATCTGTATATTACAAATCATTTAAGTCGATTCTAACTGTCTTTGTGCAATAAATAAATGACTGAGCATTTTTATACGAGGAAAATAAAACTGATGACGTCATAAAAGAATGTCTATAAGATTAAAATGGATGAAACGGCTTCCTTATTACAATCCAAGTGCTTATAATATTTATGAACATCAATAATTTTCTTGAACCGAGAAAGGCTCAGAAATACGAAATAAGCCTTTTGATTGTATGTATACTGTCGCATCAACTATTTGGTCAGGAAAGTAAGAGACAGTGTCCCAGTTCTTGTAGGTATACCAAAATACATATGTATTAAGTATACATGATTACTATAGGAGTAGTCTCCTGCTTGGAAAAGTATATCGAATCATGAACATGTCTTGGTCAGAATGCCAAAAATATAAAGTTTGTTCCTCTTTGACTAGAAAAGAACATTTAAAATGAAAGCAAACAGATCGTTTTTAAATGATGTTTCTTAATGTATGTATCATACGATT